GCTGCTAAGAGGAACGAAGAGCTTTATTTTTCATGGCAAAAATACAGTGCTTTAGGAATATGTACACAGGGGAATCACGGTATCACTTTTTAAGTCCTCTTCGGGAGCTTTGCCTTGAACTTCTCCCACACGGTTCTCCATTTACTCGTCTTTATTTCCATTACGTCTTTCAAGTTATCTGCAATGGGGGAAGAGAAGGGAAAGCAGATGAATAAAACTCTGCAGAAACCTGCCTTATATTTCCCTTTTTGACTTTCGAAGCTTTCATCTAAGTGAGTTTCTATTTCAGTGCCTGGGGCAAGTTTGTTTTCTCATCCAGTCAATCACATGGGATGTCCCTCATCACCAACAACTATTAGTTTCCACACACTGCAATCAAAGTTAGGAACCAGAGCAGAACAAGGCCATGCCAGGTTCCTATATTGCACTTAATAACTGCAGTGTCTTTGTGCAGAGGGGGACTCTTGTTTTCTTTTTTCTAAAAGGCTCCTTACCATCACTGAAGAAAACTACAGGGTACATTTCAACACAATTGAAATCAAAGGGTAGCCAAGAACCTTGAAATGAATGAGCTGAATCTCAGTATTTATAATACCTGCCCCTGGAGCAGCAGATAGCATTTTTTACGTACAGACCAGCCAGTGCATCTCATGCATGACATCTTGCTACCCCAGTGCAGAGCAATAACTAGCACAACAAACAAGGGAGTTGGTAAATCTCCTGGACTACAACCAAAGTGGTTTCACCTGTAACATCTCCAGGTCATTCTCTAGCCATGGGTGCAGTTGTTAGACTCTCCACATGACACTATCAACCACCGGGGCCCCCTGAAACTAGGCTACACTTTTAAGTGAAGCTTGTAAAAATGCCACAAAAAGAACCCTGCAAAGGGAAATGCATTTACATCCTGAGCAGGGTAGCGCCAGCACTAGCTAAGTAGCGTGACTGTCCTCACTGGCTGCAATACCTGTTGTTATGATAATCCTGCATTCTTCCATTGTCAATCCGGTGAAGTTTGTATCATCCAGGCGCCGATACTTTCCAAACGAGAGAGAGAAGAGTGAGTTTACAGAGGCAGAACCATTTCCATGCCACGTTCTAAGTGCTAAGCACAATGCTCCTGTCGAAATATCAGCATTTGAGGGACAGGGCCACCATGTGCACTCAGACCTGGCAGGACACAGACACAGACAAGGACCCCTACCAGGTGCTCACCTTGTTTTTATGATAGTTGGTGTGAATTCGGACTAAACTCTCGTACATTTGGTCACAATCCTCCGGGTTGGCAACCTGAAATAGAAAAGAAACATCACACAACTCTTGTTTTCCTGCTTCCACAAGCAACGTTTTTCTTTTGTGTTTTTCAAGTGAGAAGAGGAGGAGGAACAACTAGAAAATTTACCAGTGGAATTTAGGTTTATGATAATATCTGCTAACGTCACTCGAGAGGCAACGATTAAGACTTAATTCCCGCCCCTTGTGATACCTTCCAGCTTAGCGTAGACACACAATGAAGCATGCCAATGTTTCCATGAAAGGAAATATGATTAAAATATTATATGAGAAATATTGCTGGCAAATTCTCCTGATGCCCCAGAGCCAGTAATGCAGCATCTAAAAGGCCACATACAGCCCTGCTTTGCCTTCTGTTTAATCCCAAAGGATCAAATAGCAGGATGGAAAGGTCAGGAGGAAAATCCTAATGAAGGTTAAAGATAGTTTGTTTATTAATTAGCAAAAACACAACACAGAAAACACAGAAATCCCTCCACTTTGCTTTTCAATTTTTGGTCATGTCAGCTGGAAAGATTCCTCCTTCATACAAACCTCTCCAGGTCCCACGACAGGTGCACGTACCAGCAGTCTAACATCCCATATGTCACTCTGCCTTTTTTTCTATTTTAAAATCGGGGGCTCACTTGATCTGAATGCTGCATTATGTGTTGATGACATCCAATACAAATGCTTACAGCAGATGTATGTAAGAATAAGAATAGGAGCAGCAGGGAGCTGTTAGATGAAATTACCAAGCTGACCTATCCTCATACGTTGGGACAGAAGCCACTGCTCTAGCTTGGGGCAAGTAATGCTCCCCTTTCATTTAGCATGCAAATTAGAAAATAATAGGAGGATTTTTCTTTCACCATAGCTAAGTATGTGATCTTCCCATTCACACTTGAAATGATTCTGCTGGCATTTCAGTAATGATAGCAGGGGCGGCTATCAAATGGGTGGCAGAAATAGCATTTAAGAAAAAATTCAGCCAAAGCTCATCACGCCTGGATAAAACAGACCTTAGATGGATATAGTGTCCTTTAGAATCGGAGTCTTCCTTGTGCATTCTTCCTGCCACAAATCTACTTTCACTGCATTGAGCCTTTATAAATGGAAATTGAGATCAGGGCTGCAGGCAGCAATTTCCTTTTTTGAAATTGAGTGGCAGGATGGGGCTCTGGCCAGCAAGTGGTGCAGCATATTCTGCTGGGTCCAAGCAAAACCAGTAAGCCCCTTCTGAAATACATGTTGCTGATGCTGCTGGTGACTGAGGGGAATGAGCTGCGTACTGGAGGTGCTCAGATAACTGACCCTGACCACATCCAGGGCAGAATCTGACCCTGCTTTTAAGCTATGAAGGGGTTTATTTACATGCTAATGCACTACTGCCTTGCCTTGTTTAGGAAAATAGCAAGTAGAGAACCTCCAGCCTTGTTTGGGCAAATAGCAGCTTCCCCAATTTATTAGCATTACTGTAGCCCAATCTACACTATGCTTAAAACATTAGTGAGGAGCTCAGTTCCAACACTGTTCTATCCTAACCACATCATAAACTGTTTTGGTTATGTTTTATGTAATCCAATTCAACTATGCTATAACCTTCTATGGGAAGCAGACTAATTAATACACTACTGGGTTTGGTATACTCCACACTGCCCATCGCATGCTCTCACACTGCATTATAACCAGGCTCCCGGAGACAGTTTTTCACTGAAGACAAGACCTAATTGCTTAAGTGAACTGAAGTTTCCTGTTAAACTAAGGATAAACTCTAGCTAAGCTATGGGTAAGCTTAAACGGTTGATACCTAGAAGTAGGAAGCAGAGAGAATCCACAAAGCCACCTGAGCTAAGCTCTGAGGAGATGGAAGAGGCACCAGACACCTTGAAATGCCCCTGCAAAAAAAGGCTTTGCTCTCGAAGGCTCGGCTACCTTTATCTCAACAATACAGTTGGTCCAATACAAGGTATCCCCCCCACCCCAAAATCCTTGCTCCTCGCATTAATTCCTGGACCATCACAGCTATATCACTTTAATACTACCAGCTGTACACTCAGTGCCTCTAGCTACAAGCTTGTCCTCCAGAGTCATGATCCCACTTTAAGAGCTTTGGTTCTGTTTGAGGGCTAGTCCACATTCAGCAAGTAAAGGAAGCCTGCCCTGTCACAGAAATCAGAGAGCAAGGGGGATGGAAGGGACCTCCAGAGGCCTAGTCCAGTGTTTCTCAACCGGCAGGTCGCGACCCAAAAGCGGGTCACAAGAATATTTGAGAGAATCATGAGGAAGTCCCAGAAAAACCTGTGAAAGTGCGGGTTTCCCCTTGCAGGCTGGCAGCGTTCCAGCTGCAAGTGCCTGCTTGGGACAATTGGAGGCAGTGGGCGCATGTACATCTGCACACGCAGATGCATGTGGCCAGCATACAGTGAGGTGGAATCATGGTAGCAACCCTAGCTGCTGGACGCAGGTAAGTGTATGGGGAGTGGGAAGTCCAGGGGACTGTCCGGAGGGCTGGGGGGTCACACGTGTATGTGCACGCATGCAGGCACTAGGGATGGTGGCCAGGCACAGTGCTGCAGCAGGGCAGGGGGAGGAGAAGGCAGCCCTTCAGCAGGGGCAGTCTGCAGCCCAGAGCTGCATGCCTACGCCAGCAGCACAGGGCCAGTGCCCATACACTCAGGGGCCTGCACTCACTTCTTG